ATGATAAGGTACATGAGGCATTATGTTGTAAACCGTTTGTAACTTTTGTATGTGGATTAGACAGTGTAATAGGTCAGCACGTTTGCATGAAAACACGTGAGCTAGGTTACACTATGGCTCTATAGTTAGATAGCTCTACACTCACAAGAGGAGTAGAGGACATAGATTCACGTATTATGTTGAGCTTGTTTGTGGTTAGTGTCACGGTGTTGGGGGAGGGGGTGTTGATTTATTGGCTCTAAATTATGGCAATAGGCTCCTTTAGGGGGGTGCCAGGGACATGATGTTGGTAGAATGCATTTAGATTGGTTTAAGTTGTTTCATGTTGGTTTATGTTGTATGAGCCCTGTTCTAGGAAAGCTATCCATGGTTTCCAAATTTTGGAGAGCGTTTGTAAGCTCTTGGTTTTAGCATGTGTTATTTCCTCCATTTGTTTGATTTCCTTGACTTTCACAATCCATTCGCTTACGGAGGGGATGTTCGTTTGTTTCCAGTATTTCGGGATAAGCTGTGTGGCCGCCATGGTTAGGAATCTGAAGAGGGTATCTTGTTCCTTCCGAAGGCCTGTTGGGGGTAGCAGGAAGATGTAGCACCTAGCATCCCTGTAAAATCTACCGTGAGTGATTAATTGGGCGATTGTGTGTATCCTAGTCCAGAATTTTATCATTGGGCATAGCCACCAAGTGTGTGAATGGTTGGCCTTTTCTCTCTGGCACCTCCAACATGTGTCCGAGAGCGTATTGTGAATTTTTTGGATTTTCATTGGGGTATAATGCCACCTAGTGATGCGCTTATAGTTGCTTTCCTGGGCTGCAGTGGAGGCGGAGGATTTGTGGATGGCTCGGAATACGATTTTCCATTCCTGTGGTGAAATATTCATGTGTAGTTCTTCCTCCCGTTGTGTAGTGCATTTCGGTAAAAGCGGGCACTGTAGGTCTCTGAGTAGGTGATACATGGTAGATAAGGTCTTTTTCTTGAGTGATTGTGCTTCACAAAGTTGTTCGAAGGCTGTCATTCGCCTTATTCCCGATGGGATGAGGTTTTGGCTCCCAATAAAATGTTTTAACATGGTGGGTACCTGTTATGGGGGTCTGGGGCATAATCTGGGAGAGGGGTGGTAACTGACATTTAATGTGGGTCTGGGGCATAATCTGGGCGAGGGGTGGCAACTGACATTTAATGTGGATAAGTGCAAGATAATGCATCTTGGACATAAAAACCCAAGGGCCGAGAATATTTGATACCCTACTAAACTCAACATCTGAGGAAAGGGATTTAGGGGTAATTATTTCTGATGACTTAAAGGTAGGCAGACATTGTAATAGAACAGCAGGAAATGCTAACAGAATGCTTGGTTGTATAGGGAGAGGTATTAGCAGTAGAAAGAGGGAAGCGCTCATGCCATTGCACAGAATACTGGTGAGGCCTTGTACACAGTACTGGAGACCATATCTCCAGAAGGATATTGATACGTTAGAGAGAGTTCAGAGAAGGGCTACTAAACTGGTTTATGGATTGCAGGATAAAACTTACCAGGAAAGGTTAAAGGATCTTAACATGTATAGCTTGGAGGAAAGACGAGACAGGGGGGATATGATAGAAACATTTAAATACATAAAGGGAATCAACACAGTAAAGGAGGAGACTATATTTAAAAGAAGAAAAACTACCACAACAAGAGGACATAGTCTTAAATTAGAGGGACAAAGGTTTAAAAATAATATCAGGAAGTATTACTTTACTGAGAGGGTAGTGGATGCATGGAATAGCCTTCCAGCTGAAGTGGTAGAGGTTAACACAGTAAAGGAGTTTAAGCATGCGTGGGATAGGCATAAGGCTATCCTAACTATAAGATAAGGCTAGGGACTAATGAAAGTTTTTAGAAAATTGGGCAGACTAGATGGGCCGAACGGTTCCTATCTGCCGTCACATTCTAGGTTTCTGTATGCTCATTCTCCCCTCACCTTAATTATATAATGGGTTAATTCTTTAAAATACATTTGTTAAAGACTGCCTAAGATTAGGCTTTGATTGTAACTTCTTAAATCTACATAATACAATACACAAGTAATTTGACTTACGAATTTCACGATCAAAAACATTTAAGTTACAAATCACAATTTATTGTGATTAGCTTTCTACATAAATACCCTCTAGAGGTTAAAATATGTAAAGTAACGCTATACAAACTGTTGGAATATTTTACAACACATTAAGACAAACAGAGGAACAAAGTTTACATCATGAAAGTTTGTGTGATTTAATAAAATTCCAAATATTTAAACAAACCATTGAGAACCAAATAAAGAGGTGCTTCCCAACGGGTAACATACAAATGGCCAATATAAAATCATTGTATAATGGATAGATACAATGCAAAAAACACCTCACACCTCAGTGATCAATTATCCCCATTGTTGTTTTGTAGAACAAACCAAACACCCCAACGTAATGGCTGGGGACCGGGGCTTGATCATGGCCGTTACAAACACACAGGAGTGCAGATATAGGGGTGATGTCAAAGAATAAAGCATCTGCTTGAAACCTTTACAATACAACGTGTTTTATATGGGGGGGCTGGAGGGGTGGGGAGTAGCAAAAGAAGACATACCCCTCACTAGGAAACCTCTGTATATCAGACAAACCCCTGAAGGAAGCGTTATTGGATTTACTACTTGGACATCTGATCACCCAACGGCCTAAAGGAAGACTTCTTACTCAACATTTATAGCGGATTAATAACCAACCTAGTGTTTACTGGATTCTGATAATGTATTTGTTACCGTGTGTGTGTGTGTGTATGTATATATATACCTACCTACTGACTATATATATAAAACACAAGATCCAGCGCACTCACCTATCCACTAAACGGCAACTTCAATGTTGAAAGATTTTATAGTTTTTTTTAAAAACACCTAATCTAGGCAAAAATAATAGGGGTTTAGTTACATTATATGATCATACATTGCATAAGCCTGCCACAACGTCAATGTACCCCATCTTTGGCAGGTCCTACAAATAAAATCTTTCAACATTGAAGTTGTTGTTTAGTGGATAGGTGAGTGCGCTGGATCTTGTGTTTTGTATTATTTGGCCCCCAGCAGCACCCCCATTTATGCATGTTCAGGTGAGTGCAGCCAACCCCCCTTGTTTCATATGTATATATACACACACACACACCACAAGATCAACATACATCATAAGTGACTGAGTCTATATATATATATATATATATATATATATATATATATATATATAGTAACAAATGCTGGTATATCCTATACCCGTTCCTCTGTTTCCTCCCGAATGAGTGATTATAACTTGCAGTTTGAGAATTGAAGTGAACGATTCTTCATACAAAATAACAGCTTCCAAAGTAGATTCTCCCAGTAGAGGTATTAGACAGGTACCCAAACATCAGTCGAAACTAGATGAAGGGTGTATCAGAACTGAATTTTAATGGGTGCTACACTGGCCTTTATGCAAGTCCCCATGCAAGGGGACTTCCCATGTGGACCTTCTGGGGCACAGGGACACAAATACAGGATAAAATTGTGACACTCCCAGTACAGACATAATCCCCTCCTCTCTGCCTGGAGATAAGTGGGTCAGATAACTATCTCCAAGCAGAAAATTTACAATTTCCCCAAAATGTGAAATGTACCCAAAAACATACAATATTCTCACAAAAGTAACCCTGATCTGGGTGACCAACATATTTAAAAAAAAAAAAACACACACCCAGATCCATTCAGGGGCTTTCAAATTCTATGGAAGTCTTAGGTAACCAGCCCCACACAAGGCTCCTGCCTGCCCAAAACCGTTCCATAAGTTTGTGGTTTGGCTATTTAGTGAAGTCAAAAATAAATAAAGTGAATAAAAGCACAAACTGCTCCCCCTGGCTCATAGTAGCGATTGTTCCCTAGTTCGTGGGAATAAAACTGAACAGTGCTGTTGAGGAAAAGGAAGTAGGCATTTGTACAGTTTGGACCTGTGTTCAGGAAGTCTAGTATCAGATTTTAGTTCCAGACACTCGACAACCAGGTCCCTCTGCCTCCTTTCGTGTGAACAAGATGGCCACCTTTTGACTACACAAACGGCGGCCACAGAGAGAGGGCTTAAACGACTGTTCTCTTTGAAGGAAGGGGGATGGTCAGTGTTCGGAGATAAAAGGTCCTCACCTTTGCAGGTAAAATAACCCATAAGGAGAGTGAGACTGACCTATCACCAATGCGGGGTCCTGTTTCATCCTAAGGAGAACAGTGGAAGCAGTGCAGATACTATGTTTTATATATTTGCATCAATGTAAACATACGTATTAAACCTAATTGAACAAAAAAAATAAATAAAAAAAGTCTGTAATAAGCTATATGCGTTCTCTGTATCTCAGTGTAGAGATACTAGCAGCAGTTTGTGAAAGTTAGCAAACAAACTCAGATACTTTGCATCACTATGTACATAGAGCCTTGACAGTTTTACTTAAAGGACCACTATAGTGCAAAAAAAAAAAAAAACCCACCCACACATGTTTTCCTGGCTCTATGGGGTCATTGGGTGTACCCCACCCTCATGTTCCCCTCCCACCAGGCTCTAGGGGGAGGAATGGGTCAAAATCTTACTTTCTCCAGCGCCAGGGACTCTCCTCCCTCATCGGCTAAATGTGCGGAAAACCCACACCTCTAGCAGCTGTCAATGAGAGCCATTAGAGGCTTGATTAACCCAAATGTAAACTTAATTTCTCTGAGACTGCCATGTTTACAGCAGACAGGGTTAACCTAGATGGACCTGGCACCCAAGACACTTCATGCCTACAATATTGTTTCAAATAGAATAAGTCACAAAAGACCAAGTCTTAATTTAGTTTTTATTAACTGTACACCAGAAGGCACCAACAATCAAGCATACATTATTGCATTAATTGACCATGTCCTATGTGGATTAGATGCCCTTAATCACATTCCAGCCTACATATGGAGATTGTATACAAGTGATCCACCTCAGCCACTGTAGTCTTCCTGAGTGACCATCAGGTTGTAGTGAGTGACCCCTTTCCATGTTCCCTGGATGGTGGTTTCATAGCCAAACAGGGTACAGATCTTGGCAGTGTATGGCACATCCATTTGTGCTTTTGTGACAGAAGCCATCATACGTATAGACTTTCCAGCCGGCACCTCTACATCCGTGCTGGCTGAGAAGCTAGTCTGTAGATAGAAACATGCATTAGAATGGAGGGTTGAATAGCAGGTGTTTAAAAGAAAGCTTCCATTCATAACACTAGTTCTGTTGATTGCTAGAGTGAGTCAGGAACAAAAAAGGTAGTGTCGCTGGCTATGTTGAGGGATTAGACCTTCATATTAAATATATTAAAAAAAACATTTTGAAGACAATAAATCAGATATTCTGAAGTAATGTAAAGGTGGAAGATGTGTAATTGGACAGACAGGAACTGACGATTTAGAGGATCTGCACAGAATGGAAGGAGCATGTGGTAAGAGGCAAAGTTAAAATGCACATCAGCTTGCAAAATTTGCCACAAAATGATACTCCGTGGCCAGTATGCAGACAGATCCCAAAACCCAACTAGCATGTCAGACACATACCTGTGTTTCATTGGTCTTTGAGAAGCTCCAGGTGTGAGTGGTACTGGTGTTGATGGAAATGCTTGTCTCCATGTCACCTATAAAGGGGATGCCAGCAGTAAAAGTGACCTCTGCTCCAACTTCTACTGTAAAGCCATGCTCCTGGGTAAAGCTGCTAGTCTCAGTCATGGTTTTGGAGAATCTAAGAAGAATTGAAAACCACTGAGCTAGCAGAGTATACAGCTTACACCGAGTGGAGTATACCCTCAACCTCCAGTAACAAGTTTGGAGGGATATTACAAACCAATGTAAAGCAATACATGAGATTAAAAAAAATTAAACTGGCAGAGTGTTAGGATGCAATGAAAAGTAGTCATTAAACTGGAAAGTGAACAGGGTATTTGGAGTCTAGAATATGATGCATTTGAGAAGCATGATGATATTTGCCTGTTATTAGCCCATTTTGAGCTTATGGGAACATTAAACCCATCTGTAAGCAAGAGTGTCAGGCTAACATTCAGCCTATACTTACGAGAAGGAGTACTTTAAGGGAACGCTGCTCGTATTCTTGTAGATTTGAGACTGGACCACCTCTGGCTGCTGAGAGAGTATTTTACCTGATGCAGGTAGGAATTCAAAGCTTACAACACTCTGGATGGTTTTATCAGCAGTGAAGGCTAGAAAGCGGTACATATTATAGCTCCAACCTAGGAGGTCAGCCTTATCCAAATAGTTGGTATCATCTTTAGTTGGAATTTTCCCTTTATAGATGTTGCCATTGCGTGAATCCACACACCACAGTAGGTCATCAAGGCTGATCTTCATGAAGTGGGTGAGAATTCGCCAGCCACCATCTCCAATAGTGGTGCAGGAGTCAAGCCATTTATCGTTTGTTGTGGATGGAGGGCTTCCCACCACAAGCTTGTCACCATCGGTCACAGCATACAGATTGCCTTTTTGGTCAAAGAAAAGCGCATCATGTTTATTCCAACCAGAGTTTCCTATCTTGGTTGCTTGACCATAACGCCAGGACACATTTTCATTGCTTGGTGCTGGACCCTTGTAGAGCTCCCCATCTTTTGTAGCTGCATACAGAAGCCCATTTGGGTCAAAGAATAGAAATTTAAATTGAACCCACTCAGCTTTTCCCACTCTCTTGGCAGTAGAGAACCAGTCAAGGTTTGCAGACAGAGGCATAGGCCCAGTATGAAGATCCCTGCCACGGACAGCAAAGAGCTGCCCTTCAGGGCTTAACACAATCTTGGTTACATTATTTAGCTTCCCTACAGCAGTAGATCTGTCGTAGTAGCTATCCATACGATCCTTGGGCGGTAGGCCAGCTCTAGCCACATAGTCACTGCTGATGGCAAACAGGATGGTATCTGAAATTAGAGGAAACACTGTTTTATATATTTGGAAGAAGAACTGGCTGAGGTTAAGATCTAGCATAGAGCAACAGCAGGACTTATCACAATAAAGTCAGCAAGTTTTTAGTTATCTTAATGAAGACTTGAGATTGTTCCCTTCCATCTTGCACAAGTGCCTTCTCTTATGTAGAATGGTAGAGCAGAGATAAACCTAATGTCCCTTGTAAACAACTAAGAATTAGTATACCAATTAAGAACTACATACTTCCATGTCCCCATTCACATGTGCGCACAGATATAGACACTGAGTATAGCTTTAACATTCCATTAGTGCTGCAGTTTACACTGATGCATTAAAAAGGGTTGACTAGCTTGGTTACATTGGAAGATGGGTAATGTAGCGTAAAGCATTTTAGTTTCAGACATTGCATGACAGCACTATGAGGACATTAAACATAACTGAGCACCCTTTATTCCCAACTTAAAGTCTGAGAAAAAAAAAAAACCCACACCACCCCTCCCCAACCCATTCAGCTGGGTCAGCCAGGTATCAGACTAAGCAAGTTGACCAGTTCAATAAACCAGGCCACAAAGTCATTGTCCCCTCCAAGCAAACTCCATATCACAAGTCTTCACACAGATTGCTGGACATAGAATGTCACATTACCATTTATAAAGACAAAAACATCAGGCATATGTTGGAATATAATCTGTCCTTTGAGATTTACACTCTAGTGTAAAGCTCACCATTTCACCACAATGGTCCTTCCAAAAGGTGGGCATTAAACCTATGTGACACCCATCTCAGATCTTTGATTTGCTATGCTTGGGGGCACTTGCCCCAAGCTGGACACATTTCTGACACTAACTTCATTGCCAGCATCTGAAGTAACATACATCCATTGCTGTAATCAAACTAGCACAGTGGAGATCAGAGGCACCTGCTATGGGAGAGCTCACCATGTCTCAATTCCTCAGCATTGGATGTCTGGTGAGAAGCTGAGAGATACATGGTGGATAAACCCATTTTGAAGTAGATTTCACCTTATCCAAAACATTAGACAAATGCACAGATGGAAATTGAAGCGGATAAAAAAAATAATAAAATTATTGCATTATATCCATATTTTAGGATGAAATACCTGGTGTAGCCATTATCACAGATATCAAAAAACAAACTCCTAGATCTCTAGACACCCAGCAGGACAGTTCTGGAAGTTTCTGGCTTTGGAAGATCAAGAACTGTTTCCTGATAATTCTGTACAACAATCCTCTACCCAGTCCATCAGCTTTATAGTCTGGCCCCCTCCCTAAACACAGCTGAATGTGGTTTGTTTGAAGAATCTGAGCAATGATCTGTTGGTTAATCTGGTAGGAGAATGGTTAGCTAATCACTAGACTTGGGCACAAATCACTTCCAGTTACATTGATCAAATCAAATGTCTTCCAATTAATGGTCAAATTAATTGATTTGCTCTGAATTGGCTAATTAATCCATTTGTTAATCGATTAATAGGTATTTGATTCGCTCAACGCAGCTGAAAGGGATTTGTGCACAAGTCTCCTAACTACGTCTACATGTTAATGGACTGTACATAAAAAGTGCTTCCCTGAGCTTGTGGCATTAATAGGCTGTAGTTGGGAAACCACAAATCAAGGCAGTTCCTTTGCAGTTCTTCGTTGAGCCATAAAGTTATTTCCCTTCTGCAGCAAATGATTTCTACATGCTACAGAGCAGCACTTTTCCTGCACTGCCCTACAGCATGAAGAATTCACAAGTGTCAAAGAAAGCAACCCTGCTTATGGCGACTATTGGGTCCGGTGAGGCTGTTGCTTGACGAATACAGAATCAAGAGTTAGAAAAAGTAATAGAACTCTACTTTCATATAGCACATATTCCAGAAATACTAGATTATGTGGATTTATATCATATTATATAAATTGTCAAAAAAAGTATATATAAACACACCAATCCTCAATCCAATGTCATTTAAATATCTTTTTTTGTGCATCTTTTTAATTTTCAATTACCTAGTGGGGATTTATTCTTATTTTTGGTGATGGTTTTCTGGGACTTAGAGTGTATTAGAAGTAAATAAACTTCATAGGGTCCATTAGTTAAACTATGGTCCTTGCTGAGTCTAGACTTTTATAGATTTAGGGACAGTTTTCATTAGTGTTACTGTTTCTGACAATGTAGGATTTTTCTAGATTTTTACTGTTATGTGAATGCCATCCTCGGGCTGTTGCTGATCACAGAGCATTGTTCCACTTTCAGTGTAGGATGATCCAGTGTATAGGGGGGAGACTGAATTCAATGTTAATCGCAATTAAATGGTGATGCTTTAATGGGTTTAATTTATATGCTTTCTTAAAGAAATTAGTTTTTAATGATCTTTTAAAGGAACTGAGACTGGGTGAGCAGGGAGAGTCCGATAGGAAAGGCGCAGCCCTACAGAAATCTTAAAGGTGGGCATCAGAGGTGCGAGTACAAACAGGTAATAGACGCAGATCTTCAGAAAAGCGCAGGGGCCTGCACGGAAACATACTCACATATCAGTGAGGATAGGTAGGTAGGAGCAGCATTATGTAAAGATTTGTAAGCAAGCACCAGAATTTTAAATTAAATCATATATCTTACGGGAAGCCAGTGTAAGGACTGACATAAGAGGTGTGGGCAGACAGGAAGATGAGCCTGGAAGCTGCATTTATTATAGATTGTAACAGGACCGACTCGGAATGTGTAAGACCGATGAGATACTGTATGTGCAGCATTGACCCAGGAAGCACCTCTAGTGGCCATCTGAGTGGCTACCACTAGAGATGTTACTAGGCAACAATGTAAACACTGCCTTTTCTCTGACAAGGCAGTGTTTACATTAAAATGCCTGAAGGGGCAGACTATACACACTAAAAAAAAGCTACATTAAGCTATAGTTGTTCTGGTGACTATAGTGTCTCTTTAAATGTTGAACCAATTATGGTAAAATTGGAAATCTAATTGCTCAATGTAAAAATGAAAAATCCTAGAGGGGCGTGGCCAACTGCAGCACGGAGAAGCCGTATGGTTTAATAGCTTTGTGAACCAAAGAGCCCAAAGCGACTAAAAACAAGCTGAAACAGCAACAAAAACCCATAATCTGAGACTTCCTGATCCAGAGAACCAGATGGCTCCCTCCAAACAGTTAAATCTTACAGACCTGATGCAGCAAAGTAAAAAAGGCCGCACAAGGCAAATACAAGATGGCGGCGAACTTATGCCGCACTCACCTGCTGACGGTCCTGCAGAATCGGCGATACTCTCTCTCTCTCTGGATGATATTCTGGTAACCAACAAAAGTCTACATAGCATGTTGCAAGACCTCAAGGCATCTCTCAGAGCTGACTTTTGTCAAATATCCACAGTGAAGTGGTGGATAAATTGCAGGTTGGAAGAGGAGCAGCCCACAATAAAATATAAAATGGGCAACATGGAGGAAGGGCAAGGCGAAATAACATCCGCTTTCGCAGCATAGCAGACGCCATTTCCACAGAGGCCTTGCCGCAACACCTCAAGACCCTATGCAAAGCTCTTGTACCTCACTTAGAGGATGGCACATGGATTTTTGACAGACTACACTGGCTCCCTAGACCTGCCTGTTTTACTACGGACATCCCAAAGGACACCGTTGCTCGCTTCCATTATTACAGTTCCAAAGAAGCACTGCTGAATGCTCCAAGGAAACTTCTCTCTATACCTGAGCCTTACCAAGGGATACATATCTATGTCGACCTTTCTGCAACCACCATGGTGTGAAGGTGTCAGTTCATCAATGTGACTAAAACACTACACAACAATAATATCCCATACAGATGGGGATACCCGACAAAACTGTTGGTGTGGCATAGAGGCAAATCAGTGGCTATTCTGGAGCCAGAGGTGGGAATGGCAAAGCTTACAGAATGGGGTCTCCACAATGCTATAGGCCATGCATCGCCTCAAAGGTATTCGCTGTCTTTTCCAATCACTTGAGTATCACACAAATTCTACTGTTGCCATGTTATATATAGTTGTTGTTATTTTACGATTGATGATCCAGTTTGGCTAATGTGATCCAAATGAACCTAACTGGTTGGGTTGGTACAGGGAACACCAGGGGTCAATGGGGGCTAGGCAACATTTTGATTAGTCCCTTGAAGGTACAGTCATGAGACACAAGGTATGAGTGCTTTAGGCCTAGGTAACAGAGGGCCGATTGCTCCCACGGAGTGAGCGGAAAGACCTTGCCATAATACAGGTTCAATAGCCACGTAAAGGCCAAACGTGTTGTCTGCATATGCCTAGTTTACGCTCCAGCAACCTCAAAACTCACTCACATGGCAGGCACTCACACAGTTCTCCCACCCATTTTTCCTATGGAGGCCCATTATTCCCAGAAGGGGAGAGAAAGCACAATCTGTCAGGCCTGAGTCGGCCTCTGCAATACATGAAGCCCCTGTACAGCCTCAGGATGTGGATTCAGTGCCCCCCATATAAAGCATTAACTGCTGAGATAACCGAAAACAGATATCACTACTACTATTTTAGGTGGGGAGGCTAGTTCAGAGACAAGGAGACCATATGGATGTCCCAGATAAGTAACATAATCTACTTAAAATCACCCAGCTGTAAAACAACAGGACAGGATTACTTGAGTTAGATCCAAGCACAATGGTTGAGCTTACCTTTAAACTGTTCAAGTGTGATACAGATTATGGTTATTATAATGTTTACTTCTGTCTATGCAACTTTTCATAATGGGCTAGATATCAGTGGTATAATTGCCATCCCTCCTGCAATGAGAAATGGGGTGTATTGTCATTTAAAAAGTCTATTTGGGCTTATTGGATTTTGAAAACACTTTTTCTGCCTCTTTAATTCCATGGGAAAATGTGCCTCTTCCCCTACCCCTTTTTCCAGTCCCATTATTCTCCAGCAGGGCTTTGTCCCAGGGACACTGCCTGACCAGTTGAAACTGGCTGCTTCGTACCTCCTCAGTCTCTCATCAGCCCTTGCTATTGTTTAACCAACTATATTCGTGAGATCCGAGCGCCTTTCTGACA